CCAAATCTCTGGGATTACCAGTGTGAGCCACCACACCTGGTGAAAGCAGGGGTTTTGATTTGGGAACTGGTAGGGAGAGGAAACAGCTTTGGAGCCATCCGCGTAGGAGTATATGGTAACAGCTCTCTTTTCCCATTCACCTGCGGCTCAGAGTTGGGGGACCCAGGAAAGCTTCCAGAGGAAATTGTTCTACCTTGGGGACAGGAATGACTCAATTTCCTTCTGGAGCGAAAGGTAGCTATAAAGCTCTGTTTCTTATATGCTTACTGATAATTTCAGTGTTTGGGGGTCTAGACTCTTGCCTCTTTTCCTCAATAGCCTAGATAAAGAATGTCCCCTTCCCCTTGAGAACTCAAAAGCCTATTTCTCCCAGCCTCTTACCAGATCCTGGCTTAGCTGCTTTCTTGCCACCATTTTGTGTGTGTGTGGTGCATGTGAGGCAAGCACTCTATCAACTGAGCTATATCCCCAGATCTTTTGATGCCAGTTATGCCATTCTTTTATTATTATTATTATTATTATTATTATTTATTTTAGTTGTACATGGACACAATACATTCATTTTATTTATTTTTATGTGATGTTGAGAATCAAACTCAGTGTCTCACACATGCCAGTGGAGAGCACTACCACTGAGCCACAACCTCAGCCCTTGCCACCATTTTTTTTTTTGTTTATTTTTTTGAAGTAGTTGAACACAACACCTTTATTTATTTATTTCTATGTGGTGCTGAGGATCGAACCCAGGGCCTTGCATGTACTAGACGAGCACTCTGTCGCTGAGCCACAACCCCAGCCTCTTGCCACCATTCTTTTTTTTTTTTTTTAAAGAGAGAGTGAGGAGAGAGAGAGAGAGAGAGAGAGAGAGAGAATTTTTAATATTTATTTCTTAGTTCTCGGCGGACACAACATCTTTGTTGGTATGTGGTGCTGAGGATCGAACCCGGGCCGCACGCATGCCAGGCGAGCGTGCTACCGCTTGAGCCACATCCCCAGCCTCTTGCCACCATTCTTGATGTTGCCAGGTCACTCTGCCTGTTTGGCTTCTGCCTGCCCCTCCCCTACAGCTAGACCCTTTCCTGTTGGGACCAATCAACAAGGTGAAAATGTTGGGGCTCAGGGGTGGGAGAGCAGAGGTGGGAGACAGCTAAGGACAGTGGAAAATTAGGAGGGGACTTTAAGGGGGGTGTTCAGGCGACACTTCCTTTTAATCCAAAGAGGATTTTAGCATCTTTTCTGATCCTCTGGAAGATTTTTGTGAAGTCTTGTTCCTATGGCGGGCAAGGCAGAGAGCTTAAGAGGATCCCCAGGAAGATATTGTGTTGTATGGGTAGAGGTGACATAGGGAAAAGCTGTCTCTGATATTTACAGAGTAAAGAGTAGAAAGTAGAAAAGAGTCAAAGTAGAGAAATTGAAAATAGCCCTTGCCCAGAACTAAGGGAGTCCTTGAATAGGAATCTGGTCCTTGAGGAACCCTGCCAAGACTAGAGAAAGGACTGCTTGTGAGAGGTAGGGTGACAGGGAAGGCAGATGACTTGACTACAACACTTGCCTTCCCATCACTATGAAATGGGGAAGAGGCATTTCCTTAGAAATCTTCCAGGCTTCCTGCCAGAGGGCATGGTTTGAGCTCAGATTATTACTATCCTCAGGGTCCAAATATTCCCCCCTCCCAGGTGGACCGGAGTCAAGACTCACTAACTCAGTGAGGTCAAGTGCAGTCACCACATTAACAGCTTCTCTCCAAGAAGGGCAGTTTGGGCTATGAGAGATGGGATAGTAGCACAGGATCTAGGAATGGCCCAAGGCTGGGGGCTTAGGCTTCTGTAATAGAAAAGGAATAGGAAGTGGGGGCAGGCAAAGGTGGAGTGAGGGTCCTGGGAGAAAAAGGGAAATCAGCTATGTGAGAGACTACAGAGAAATAGGGCTTGTAGTGGTGGCAGGTGTGTGTGTGTTGGGGGGGGGTTTCTGGGGGAACCTGGAGGTAAAGCATGAGGAGTATGGGTTCTCCCTCCTTCATGCTTTTAATACTTTAGCTACACATATTTGACAACTGTCTTGTATAAACACTCTTCTCTAGTAGTGTCACTTGGGAAGGCACAAAGGGAACAGAATGGAGGGGAATGTGGGTGAGTAGAGTGGGGAAGGCCATAGGCAGTATCAATCTTAGAGGGACATGCTGTGGCCCTCCTGCACTTTGGAAAGTATTCCTATCTTCCCATTTAGACCATGCTCCAGAAAACCAGGATCATGTTATTATCTGCCCACATAGCTACAAGGTTACTTTCAGAGCTTGAGTGGGATGCTCTTCTGGAATCATCAAGATTTTCCTTCAAAAGGTGACCTAGGAGGAGCCAGTTGTGGTGGTGTACATCTGTAATTCCATTTATACGGTTATGTTTTTTGTTTTGTTTTGTTTTGATGCTTGGGATTGAATCCAGGGCCTTGTGCATGTGAGGTAAGCACTCTACCAACTGAGCTACATCCCCAGCCCTCCTCTTACTTTGGAGGCTAGGATAGGAGGACTGTGAGTTAGAGGTCAGCCTGGGCTACATAGTCAAAATCTGTCTGAGAGAGAGAGAGAGAGAGAGAGATGGAGACTAGACTCATGGGTTGGGATATCATGCTCTTCAGAACATGGGGTTTAGGGGCTAAAAAGGAGGAATGACAGAACATTGGTGGCGGGCCTCCATGTTATTCTTGTAGCTGGTTGTTCATAGGCATGGGGACTTTGAGAAGGGACGCTCAGACATCCTTATCAGTGGTGGATAACATTTGGTTTTGGGTTTCCCACTGGAGGGAAACAAGCAAAATCTGTGGACATAATAAACTACAATATGGTTCTTAGGAATAAAGAGAGTTTTAAAAATGAACTTCAAAAAGCTCTAGATTTTTAGGGAAAAATTTGAAGATAGTAGAGGGTCTCCATATTCTTGGAGGTCTTTTTATTTTACCTTCTGTGCTATGAATGGAACCCAAGGCTTTATGCAAGTTTTTACCACTGGCCTCCACACCGGCTTCCAATTTTTCTTTTATTAATATCCTGATATTAGTATGTTACAGTTATAACCTTTAATTAAATTCCATACTTTATCAGATTTCTTTAGTTTTTTTTTTCTTCCTTTTCTTTTTTCAGTACTGGAGATTGAACCCCAGACCTCAAACATGCTAGGCAAGCACTCTACCACTGAGTTACAAGCCAACCATTTTTTGGAGGGTAGTACCAGGGATTGAACTCAGGGTCACTCAACTACTGAGCCACATCCCAGCCCTATTTTGTATTTTATTTAGAGACAGAGTCTCACTGAGCTGCTTAGCGCCTTGCCATTGCTGAGGCTGGCTTTGAATTTGTGATCCTCCTGCCTCAGCCTCTGCAGCCTCTGGGATTACAGGTGTGGCCACCGCGTCTGGCACAACCCAACCATTTATGTTTTTATTTTTAATTTTTTTTTTGAGAGAGAATTTTTTAATATTTATTTTTTAGTTTTCGGCAGACACAACATCTTTGTTTGTATGTGGTACTGAGGATCGAACCTGGGTCACACGCATGCCAGGCGAGCGYGCTACCGCTTGAGCCACATCCCCAGCCCTATTTTTAAAAATTTTTAATTGTAGATGGACACAATACCTTTATTTTATTTATTTTTTATGTGGTACTGAGGATCAAACCCAGTGCCACACACATGCTAGGCAAGTGCTCCACCCCTGAGTCACAATCACTGCCCCTATTTTTTGTTTTGACCCAGGATCTTGCTAAGTTGCCCAGCCTATCCTTATATTTTCAATCCTCCTATCTTGGCCTCCCAAGTCACCGGACTTAGAGGCATGTGCTACCGTGCCCAGTAACATTTTCTTTAATATTCTTTTTCTGTCCCAGGATCTCATTCACGGTACCACATTACCTCATCAYGTCTCCCTAGGTCCTTTTGGACAGTTTCTTAGACTTTACTTGGTTTGGTGATCTTAACCTGCATGCAAGCAGTATGCATAGCCTGGAGATTCTGGGAGAACTGTCAGATTTTAGAGTGAGGTAGTGATGTGTGCAACTAACTACGCCGCAGTGTCACTTCTGAAATACAGGTGTAGAAATGAGAACTCTGGTGGTGCCAGGGCTTTGGAGTGAGTGGGTGAATAGGGCAAAGCCAGAAAAGAACGTGTTACTGAGCATAACATGCTTGCAGTGCCTACTAACTAGGKGTGTCAGAATGCAGTTGAGGGTCCGGTAGACAGTGACGTCATTGGACAACGCCTGGTTGCTTGCCTAGTCTCTGAATCTCTTGATGCCTCAGCTCCTTGATGTTGTCCTCTGAAGGAGAGAAAGGCCCACTAGATTAATTCCGTAGTTTTCCGGCTAGTTCAGACATACGYGACCCCGGTAGAACGAACTACAATTTCCAGAAGACACTGCGGCGGGAGCCTGTCTCTTGCTGCATTCTCATTGGTTAGTATCTGGTATCCCCAGCCAATAGAAAACGAGTTCCTTCATAGGTGCCAAAATGGCGTTGCCTAAGATCTAGAACTCGATTGTATGGTAGGCTTAAATTTGGGGTGGTAGTGGATGAAATGAAAGTGGGGAATTATAATTTCAGGAGAAGATGGGGAAAAGAGGGCTGTCAGGATTTGGGGTGGTATGGCTGAGGGACACAGCGAGAGCTAAGGGCGTAATGAGGCAACCGGAGCTCTGTTAACCCCTTCCTGCCCTCTGTTAGTTTTTGTGTCAGCCCCTTTGACACTCTCTTTTTATTTTTCCATATTTTTTACTGGTGCATTATAGTTATACATAACGTGACACCTTCTTTTAGTGCCACAGTTTAAGGGAGGGTAGTTCAGGAGGGGAGATCTTGACAGGATCTCTGCCTTGCACCCTTTCTCTTTATTTTCCGTCCGGTTCTTATGCCTTGCTTTRTTTTCCCGAATCTCCTTTCTGTTTAACTCTACCTTCCCTGTTCTTGCCCTCAGCACCTCATCCCTTCTCTCTTTCCATTTCTTTTACCTCAAAGCTGGCGACTGTCGGCCTCGCCTTCTCAGAGTGAAGTCATGAAGGTGGTGAACCTGAAGCAAGCCATTTTGCAAGCCTGGAAGGAGCGATGGAGTGACTACCAATGGGCAATCAACATGAAGAAATTCTTTCCCAAAGGAGCCACCTGGGACATTCTCAACCTGGCAGGTCTCAAGTAAAGCGGGAAGGATGGATGGGAGGAATAAACCCCCAAGAGCAACCACTCAGTTTTACTTTGTTATTTCCCTTGCAGAAGCACTTTTGGAGCAGGCCATGATTGGACCTTCCCCTAATCCTCTCATCCTGTCTTATCTGAAGTATGCCATTAGTTCCCAGGTAAACTGCCCCCATCCCCCAAAGAGTGAGGGTTTTAGAGGTAAAACACTTGGAATGCAGTTGTCAGTTTACACTTTTTAAGTGAATTTGAATAGAGCACTTTCTGAACTGCACTTTTCTTGCAAACATAATAACTCATTTATCTTGATGAATATTACATTCAGTTTACCAATAAGTGTTTACCAATGCTGCCAGGCATGGTGGCRCAAGCCTGTAATCCCAGCTGCTCAGGAGGCTGARGAAGGAGGATCTGGAGTTSAAGGTGAACCTCAACAATGAAGCCAGACCCTAAGCAACTTAGGACCCTGTCTCGAAATAAAAAAAGCTGGGGAGGTAGCTCAGTGGTTCAATCCTAGTACCCCGGGGGAAAAAAAAGTGTTTGCAAATGCTTATATTTGCCAGACAGTGCTAACTCCTGGGGACATAACTATAAACAAGAGCTGATCTCAGTACATAAGGAATGTAGTGGGTAAAACATATGTTTAATCAATCACAGGATATATTTATGATAAAGAGTATAGGTACTATGGGAGTTCACAGAAGGGGTACCAATTTCAGTCTGAGCAATCAGGGAAGGCTTTCTGGAAGAAGTGATGTTTAAGCCATTTTAAACTATTCAGGCTTAAGACCTGAATGTTTTGTAAGAACCAGGCAGATTGATGAAAGTGTATAAAGCAAAGAGAAAAATGTGTGCAAGGTCTGGGAGGCAGAAATCACATGGTGTTGTTTTTTTTTTTT